GTGGAAAGTTACAGACTGGAAGTGGAAAGTTACTGGGGGTAGTTGTCACACAAGCCAACACACATAAGTTTAGGTTATTTTTTCCTCCCTCATTCAGTATCTTCAGCTTTATTACACCTCAGTTGTGGCCACTACGCAATTTAGTGTTTACCGAGATGAGATGAGAGATATGAGATGAGATAGCCTTTATTTGTCAGTTGCAGGTCTTTTGCCCACAACCGAGATGACAGACCTTGCCGACCTTATAATGTCAGTATAAATAGATGACTGATAATCGCACACAAAGGCCTTGCTGTATTTTGAAGTTTCAGAATACTGCTGGAACAGTCTTTGAACGTTTGAAAATTCTTATTACATAATTATTGAATTTAACTACAGATAAGTAAAAGTCTTGAGCCAGACTTCATTTCTTTATATTTTGGTATATTTTGTCATGTTCAGGTTTTTTTCAGAAAGAAGTACAGGGAAAATATCTGTCGTTTTAAAAAGATTTAATTTGCTTCAGCAGTTAAAATTACAAGTTACAGCGCTGGACCGTGATGTGAACACAACAGCCTCCCTCACATCAAGGATGACCAGTTTTTGTACTGCGACAATAAAAAATGATTATTATGTCTGTCTTCTTCCGGAAACCATCCTGATGTCTCCATTCGACCTCCTTTCTGTCCACGTCCGCTCCCCGTCGACCTCCTATCTGCTCTTTTTCCTGGAATCATAAAGACAGGCACAAAAACCACCTTCCAGCCTAGCCTTCATCATTTTAATATTACTGATTCTAATATCTAGTTCAGGACATTTTGTTCAGACTCCCTTTGGCCCAGAAAATATCCTGATAACCATTATCAGTAATGTGTAAGCATGCTGCAAAACCCTCTACGCTACTACGTCAACTCTTCAATATTTCAGCCCAGTCATAGCGCTGGAATAACCTTTTGACCCTAAAAACACGGAACGCCAACTCGATTATGAGGACACTGCATTGTGTATCTAAAAATAATAAAAAGAGCTTATTTAATCAT